TTGTATGCATGCATTTTAAAGTTCTTATCAATCTTGAGACCATCTCTTGCCAATTGAGCAAGAACAGGGATTAGAACATCATCATGCCTTGCATTCCAATACATGTTAGGCACACCCCTAGTGTTTGGAGGCTTGTCTATAATTGTTGATGCCATTCTTCTTTTAGCAACTGCTTTCTTCTTCTTTTTGGATGGCGAGATTGCCTCGACATCAACTTCAACAGCCCTCTTTGATGAAAGACTCTCTCTAGATCCTGTAGCACTGTTATGTGGGCTAGTGGTTGCATGGTACGTTTGGTGGCTATTAAGCATGTTCATATATGACGGAGGATGTTGAGTCATATATGGGAAATTATTGTCATAAGGAGAGTAAGATGGATACGGATGGGGAGAAGCAGAGTAGGGTGCACGAGGGAATGACATGAAGTTCATGTTCAAGTTTGAAGTAGCAACTCTAGGGGTTTTAGGAGAGGGAGTAGCATCACAATCATCATTTTTATCACCAAACTCAGCCATACTTTGAAGGATGAAGCTCCTGTTACAACAAAGCTCATGTTAGACCAAAGACACAGAATGCAAAGAGAAACTCAAACCACCATTGTCAAACTTAATAAATCCATGTAGTCCCGACATCAAATTTAAGAAATACAACAAAGTTCACATAATGAAAACATGAAGAACAAAGCTAATGTTAGAGCAAAGGCACATAATGCAAAGAGAAAATCAAACCACCATTGTCTAACTTAATAAATACAAGTAGTCCCGACATCATATTTAAGAAATACAGCAAAGTTCACATAATGAAAACATGAAGAACAAAGCTCATGTTAGACCAAAAGACACATAATGCAAAGAGAAAATCAAATCACCATTGTCAAACTTAATAAATACAACAAGTCCTGACATAAAACTTAAGAAATACAACAATACTACAAATACTAATATGTCAATTACAAGCCAATTTCGGTTGTGTCCCCACCACGATACTTATTACAATAATCTACCCACATAGCACTTGCAATGTCGTCCCTCTTCTCTTTCCATTCATTCCTATACTTATTACAATAATCTACCCACATAGCACTTGCAATGTCGTCCCTCTTCTCTTTCCATTCATTCCTTGAATCTCTTTCTTCTCTTCATAGCACTTGCAATGTCGTCCCTCTTCTCTTTCCATTCATTCCTTGAATCTCTTTCTTCTCTTTGTGTTACATTTTGAGAAAAGTCGAGGATATTGTCATCTTCACCCTCACTAGCTATTTCTCCATCAACCTCATCAATAGTAATGTCCTCATTCAATAAGTCATCGCTCGGATCAACTATAGCAATGTAGTTATGAAGTATAGCACAAGCCAATACTATATCAACTTGGGTTGAAAAAGTATAATGTGGCTTTGCAGTGAAGATTTTGAAACAATTCTTCAACACTCCAAAGGTTGATTCAATTTTAGACCTTAGCGATGAATGTCTTAAATTGAATAACTCTCTTCTGTTATTTATTGACCTACCCCTGTGCTCATTTAAATGGTAACGTACACCACGATAAAGGGAGATGAAGCCAGGCATGGTGGTGTACCCCGCATCACACAAATAATATTTTCCTACAATTTTAAACAACACGTTATAGTAAATAATTAATTTTTTGTAAATTATAATTGAATATTCATTTTAGTGATTAATGAGTAATTACCATCATAGACTCTCAGTCCATGAGGTTGAGGTCTTGAAAGTGCATCTTGTAGTACTCTATAATCATTGACGGACCCCTCCCAACCAGCTAGAACGTATGAAAATAACTTACTTGGGGTGCATAGCATCACACAAATAATACCTTTACGCCCTCTAAAGCGGGCCACAAGTCTAGCGGGAAGCATAGCATCAATGTGGGTCTCATCTATCATGCTAATGCAATCCTATATAACGTACGAAATTTACTATTATCTCATAGGATAACAAATTCACTTGTTCAGATCATGTTATGTTCATGAGTGCGTTACCTTGAAATAAGGATAGTACAAAGGATTTTTTGCAATCTCTGGCGCCAATTCCTTTAGTGCTTGCTTCAAGAACCGCCCCCTTATACGACCAACTGCTTCTAGGCATTTGTTAAAATATCTAGAAATTATTTCTCCTGATCTTATGAAATGTGATCTTACTATTCTATTTTTTGTTTTATGTCCTAATATATTAAGAAACATGATCAATTGTTTTTCAACTTTAACATCACGTGAATCCTATAGTAGGCCCGTCACTCTCATTATTCAAACAAGATTTTCAAATGCATGCGGCCTCATTCTAACATAATCTCTACGACTGTCACTATAACCAGCAAATACACGGCATATGTGGGCATTCCTAGACTCTATCCTCCGTTTTTCCCCTCCCTATGGTGATAGGTGATAGATTTTCTTCTAGAACGCATTCTCATTACACAGGTCAATCCCATCACGATGGCGGACATAGTAGCATTACTCGGTATCCTCATTAATGCTTCGTCGTCAATATCTTCCATCTACAATTAGTGCAAAATATATTCTTATACATAGACAAATGCTTAGATTCTAATTTTCATTTCTAAAACCTTTAGCTGATATTAAGTTTAGTAAAATTATATAACTACAACAATATTTATTATTATCAACCACGATATCATAATATAGATATTTTTACAATAAAATAATACAAGATATGTTCTTTCATTAATCATACATATATACCAACTGTATTAACAACCTTATCTAACTTCTTATTAAAGAGCTTATCAAATTGCAATTGAATAAAACTATATTTTAAGCTAGAGTCAGAAAACTATATTTTAAGCTAACAAAATAAAAATAAGAAGCCTAAATTTGTAAATAGGGAATAAATACCAAGTTAATGAAATATAGAAGAGAGAAAATTACAAAGCAAAGGAAGGTCTCTCTTTTTTATCTTTGCTTTGTCAATACTAAATTTAACGACAAAGACTAGGATTGGTATAGAAGAGAAGGTAAGTTTAGAATGGGAATAAAGATCATTATGCTTTACCACACTCCACACTAATTCTATTTATTTATGTGGAATCATTACAATTTTATTTTAATCTATCCACAAAATTTAGATTTGGACTACATAATTTGCCGAAAATTATAAAAATCAGCTAAAAAGCAGATAAATCAAGTTTACCCTAATTTGGCGTATATTTAAAAAATCAGATACAAAAACACATAATATCGACCATAATTTTACTCAATTTTCCCAACAATTACAAAACTTAGTTTTGTCTAAATTTGCCTACTATTAAGTAAATAGTCATAATTAAAAAAATCATGTAAAATATAAAAATTAAAAAAATTAAGTGAAAGTTGTACCTTATCTTCGTTGTGGACCAAAACCCGATGATCAAAGGTGAAAATTGAACCCCCTAACCAGAGATCAAGCCATCATATCTAAAGTTCAGATCAAAGAGGAGTGCAGACTACACCCGTATCAGAGATGATCGCCTCCATTAACGATGGCGACATGCACTATGAAAACCCCTAACATCAGAAAACCGAAGACTTGTAAAACCCAAAAATTAGATAATTCCTTTTGAAATCAAGACCTAGGCTTCATCAAGGAGATAATCAAGGTTTTAATCGACCATAATGGATCGATTTGGGACAGATTGTAGCAAATATTTGCCTTGATTTTTTCGATGAAGCGGCACGAAACGAAAGAGGGAAAGGTAGAAGAAGAGGGAACGAGAAGATAAGGTGGTGAGGGTAATGGGGTACGGGCTCTGACTACATCACGTGAAGAGAAAAGGAAAGTCGGTTTTGAATGAGGTGGCAAGCCGCTGTCAGATTTCCAGTCCATTTCCACTCAAAAAGACAGAAAATGGGCTGTCCAAAAAAATTTACTGTTAGCCCAGTTTTTAGCAAACCTTTTCTTAAAAAAAACTGAAACAAACATGGTTATTGGAATCCTATAACCTTCCAAAACCTACTTTTTGTTCCAAAACTGAGGGTTTCCTAAAATATTGGCCCAACCAAGCAGCCCCTTAATGGCAACCTTAGCTTATAATCCAAGTAATTTAGTAGATTATGATCTATAGATTATAATCTATTTATAGCAGTAGAGTATTTGACAAATGGGTGGCTTATAAATTATCATTATTATCAAAATGACTAAAAATCATTCAATGGAGTTAGAGAGATACATGAGCCTTGGAATTTTGTGAAATATGAGTGGCATGCTAGACTTTTGCTTGGTCAAAACTTATGCTTTATAAGCCACCAAAAAAAAAGCTACAACAAGTCATTTTGACATGTTCGGCAAATGACTTATTTGGGCTGAAGAAATTTTCAAAATGAACCAATTCCCAATTTTATTCCCAAAATTCGGCCCACTTTAAAGTTTATTACCAAAATCGCGATCCTAATTAGTCGGGTTTGCCAACCCCGACTAACTAGGACTTCGCCCGCTCCACTTATGTAATTTGGCAGCTAAACTAGTCGGGATTCGAAACCTCGACTAATTTAGTGTTTGCAAAAAAGGTCGGGGTTGCGAACCCCGACCATTTCGAAACGCCTAATTAGAAATGGTCGGGGTTCCTAACCCCGACCATTTAGCAGAGAGTGGCCACCTACACTAGAAATGGTTGGGGTTCCCAACCCCGACCATTTGACAGAGACCCTCTAGCCGACACTCTGCTGAAAAATCTCACTCCTGCTAATACATATCAATCCACAAGTTTAACACCAACTCTTGGTACACATTTATCAATCCATAATTAATTTCAAACACAAATAAACACATATCTTTTCAAACACAAATAAACACATACCAATCCAAAATCAATTTCAAACGTAACATTCAATTCACTTACTAAAAATCTATAATCAATCGGATACGTAAAATTCAAACGTAACATTCAATTTCAAACATAAACATCATATGAAGTATACCAAAATTTAACAAATATTTAGAACTCCCTTTCCTCTCCCTCTCCCTCTCCCTCTCCCTCTTCTTCCTCTCCCCCTTCCCTGTTCACTTTCAACATGAGCTCGGATGATCTCAACGTCCGGTTGTGTGTGAACTTGTGAGCACATGACATCCTCGTCGACTTGAACCTGCTGTGAACATCCGTCTTGAGCTTGCTGTGAGCCTCCAGCTTCATCAAGTGCACGACTTGAGCCTGCTCTCGTGTGTCCTCAGACTCATCAACGCTCGTACCCTATGAGACGTTCCTCGTGTCCATCACATTTCATATTGCGCGTCCTCCTAAGAGCGGATAGAATCTTTCCTATGATGCGAAGGAACACGCTCCTCGCCCCTGGCTCGGTAGTCGTTCCTAATGCATCATGTGCAATAAAAGCAACATCATCGAGTTCTTGTACCTATAAGATAAAAAGCGAAAAAGGATTATTAGCAAGTGGATGATAATAAAATAATAATCACAAAATAATTGTACACATCTAGGTATATACACTTATCAACTCTCTCTCTCTCAACTGGACCTCTCGGTATGTACTCCTTGGGTGATTTATTCTCCTGAAATATCCATCGGTGAGTAATCCCCCAATACCACTGTAAGTACACACCTTGGTCAGGTGCGTCAGCCCTCTTCATCACTACAACCTTCTCCCTCAACTCCTAATTCTGAATGTAAGCATGTCGAATTATCTCCTAATTTGCATGATGTGCTCCTTTTCGGGGATTTCGCTCTATTCTTTCTACAGGATCTGGAATATGTTGTTTTAATCCAAATTGTCGGAGCACATAGTCAGGCACGTGAATTTTGACAATCTCAAAACATATAATCGGGACTCGAGCACGCTATATATCTTCACCTTCTCTGCAAATATCTATTAGTGACTCTAAAACCAGTTCATAGGGCATCCACTTGACCTATAAAGAAGATTAATTAAATTTACATATCATTAATAAATAATGTATTGATTGAATATATTTAGATATTATGATTTTATAGCTGTTCATCCTCCATTTGATAAAGCTCATTCCTGTAGAAGTTTTCATGACCCTTTGGGGAGGTTTGCCAAGATCTGGAAACATTCCATTTATTTTATATACAAATGGTTAGTATAGATTAAAATAAATGTATAAAATTACATATAATCATATCTATTACAAACTTGTATACTTGCATCCTAACAAAATCTGGCCATCGAGAGCGTAGGCCTCATTCAAATATGGTGTTCCCAAATGCCCCCATGACCATATATTTACAACAAAGTGAGGCAACCCTTGAATTCTTTATTTTGCACGAGTGCCACTTTTGTCATCTCCCTATACAGATAAGCTAACATTGCACTTCCTCAGGATAACTCTCCACACTCCTCAAGATCCTCAAGAAGTGGCAACCATTTCACATGCACCGAATCCTTACTAGAATCCGAAATAGAACAGTACTGATCGTATGAAGTATATACGCACAGGCTTAGCTCTTGATGATCTCATTAGTCGCATGGATCGGTACTGTTGATGTGTATAATCACACAGCCAATAGTTTGTAGGTTGTCTGCCGAGGAAGGATTGTGAAGGATAAAGTGGTCGAGTCCCCCTCTAACTTTATGCCTAGCTCTGAGCGCACGGGGTGGACTGATGGCCTGCACACACAAGGAACGCCGGGGTACGGGGCGTGTTTCCCCCGTGGTACCTCCGACGGTCAAATTAGAGGATGAATTTGAGGGAGCTTTTAGGGAGAGCCCCTGGGCCATTGAGGTCCATGCAGGGTACATTCTCTCTTTAGAATTATTTAGAAACAACTTGAAGAAGAAGAGTGACTTCTAAGTTTTTCGAAGAACCTGAGTTTTCAAAAGTCGGTCCCTTGTTTGGCTCAAATGCCACCCTCTTTATAGGCTGTCGAGGATAGACACGTGGCTTCATCAGGGGTCTGTGGACGACGGTGGGGGATGAGCTGAAGGCTGAGTCAACAGTAGTTCCTTTACGTGTCGGCTGGCGACTGGAGGAGGTACTATTTTGAGATGATCTCGATAAGTCCCCCGGATTGATTTGATGGCGCATGGCTGAGAATATGGCGAGGTGCTGAGTCGCCTCTACCTTGACAGATGGCGGTTAGTGGCTGGAGGGTGGGGTACTCGAGTATAGGAGGCACCTCGATAACGTCCCAGGTTTGACGGATAAGGATAAAGTGAAGATAGGCTGACCGATCTAGCCATTCATTATTTCACAGATGACAGTTGGCGACTGGAAGAGAGGTCGTCTGAGCTCAACGGGTGTCTTGATTACGTCCCAGAAGTGACTTGGGAATAGAATGAGCCGCTTTTGCATTTAAGACTTCGTCGGAGTTTGAGACTTTTGACGTGACCGATCAATACTGTGGTTGATCGACGTATATCTTGGAAATATCTTAGTTGGATGACTCGGATCTTTATCTTCACCAGCATGATTTGAATTGGAAGGTGGGTCATTCTCGTAACTTGTTAACTAGACAAGTGAGTCGTCAATTCAGTCAGATAGCTCGGTAGATAGCAGAGTCGTCCATTGGAGGAGTCGTCTCGATTGGGAGTTGGGTGGACTCCCGAGGAGTTGCCTTAGAGGCTAAAGGCCGACTGCTCCCGTGCTTCGTGTCGGCTAAAGCATTTGGCTTTTGGCTAGGCTTTCCAGCTGAGTCGATTTGAATTGCGATTCCATTAGGCCCATGGAGATAATCTTCTAACATTTTTATCTATAGATGGTAGATTACCATAACAGTTGGCCCCTTTCATTCGGAACCGACTTTGGTCGGGTCCGAGTGAAACTGTTGATTCCTCTCTGGCTTAATGTTGCCAACATTGGAAACTGCTTCGTCGGGAAACGAGGCGTCGTGGGAAGAGTAGGCAACAATTATGTTGGGCGGTTGATATTTCCCGCGAGTCATTTCCGTTTTCGAAAACGGATCCTCTTTGATCTTCCTTGGTTGCTTCGAGATCATGCCTCTTGAGTTCTGCATGCTTCTTCGGAGGCTTATAAATAATTTCTGACGCGACTTTAGGAGCACATTCTTCATCAGGAATATTCTTCTTCTTGTTGGATCCCTATCCCTTCAAGCATTTTACACATGGCTTTTCCTCAAAATGACCATGAGAGGAGGCTCAGGGTTCTGTATTGTTCTCGATCGAGAATGTCATTGGATGACGTGCCTCGCTTGCACCGTTGGTACGACATCTCCCACGCCATGACCATAGGGGCACCGGACAGCTTCACTCCGGTGCATATGCACGGCGAGGATTGAGTGCCTCACTACCGGGCGCACCTGGAATGCGGCCTACGCCTACCGCTGCATCCCTTCGTCAGTGAGGTTTTCGCAGCATTGGGGGTTTCCCCCTGCCAATTCTACCCACACGCCATCTATACTCTGATGGCGTTTATAGATGCCTGCTCCGAGGCGGGCGTGGTGCCCAGCATTAACTTGCTCGGGCACGTAGTTAGTGTGGGGTCCGCGAAGGCCGACCCACACTATTTTCTCCACTGCCGGGGCGACTTCCACCTGGATGATGACTTCCCAGAACTAGAAGAGGACTGGAGGAGGTCTTTCGTCTGGGTATTTGGTGCTGACAACATTCTGTCCTGCTCGGGTTGGCTTGAAGTACAGGACAATGTGTTGGAGCCGAGGGCCCTTAGCCCTCCCGAGGCCGGAGACCTAGAGAAGCTCTGTTACCATCTCGACCTTTAGGAGTTCAGGGCTCTGGACGGAGATGAATTCCTAAAAGTGGGAGGGTCTTCCTCGTCTTCCTCCGACTCCGGAGCAACAGTCCTTCCTCCCCCAATGGAGGTATGTAAAAGGACGGGCTTGGAGGGGCCGAGTTCTTCCAGGAGGCCTCTCAAGAAAAGGAGGGGTGACTCGCCAAGTGGTGGAGGCTCTGATTAATAAGGAGGACCGAGGTTGCCTCTCAGGGGGTTCGGTAGCCGGACCCAATTTTTCTTTTCTTTCTTCTCTCTTTTTTTTTGTAAGCCCTGTTGGACCTCTTTTGTAAAAACACATTATGAATAGAAAGTGATTTTTCTTATCATTTGTTTCTGAGAATTACAAATCGTCGGCTGAGACTTGTGACCCTGTCTTCATTATAATTCGGCCTGGTCCTCTTCTTTAAGAATTATGTCGCTCTTTATAGTCCATATGCATCGGCGTCCTCATTTCTTTGTTCAGTCAAGAAGCATAGAATTTGTGTTTGGCGCGCTGTCTTGAGCTCGTCTAAGTAAGGAATTTCAGATTTTAATGTCCGGCCAAGGCACCATACTTCGGATTTATTCTTGCTGAGGAGTTTGAACTGGATAACCGACTGAGAAGTCGTTGTGCCTTGGGCCTTCCTTGAGGCGGCACCAAGGTCTTTTTACCGACTGAGGAGTCGTTGTGCCTTGGGCCTTCCCTGAGGCAGAACCAAGGTCTTTGTTCCGACTAAGGAGTCGTTGTGCCTTGGTCCTTTTCTGAGGCGGCACCAAGGTCTTTTTACCGACTGAATAGTCGTTGTGCCTTGGTCTTAGCTCTAAGAACCAAGGACTTGGTACCGACTGAGAAGTCGTTGTGCCTTGGGCTTACCCGTATGAGGAACCAAGGACTTAACCATAATGGTTGATGAGAGGAGACAGAATCAAACCATATGTTGTGTCTTGGGCTTACCTTTAAGAAGAGCCAAGGGCTTTGTTCCGACTGAGGAGTCGTTGTGCGTTGGGCTTACCCGTATGAGGAACCAAGGAATTGACCATAATGGTTGATGAGAGCAGACGGAATCAAACCATATGTTGTGCCTTGGGCTTACCTTTAAGAAGAGCCAAGGGTGTTGTTCCGACTGTGGAGTCGTTGTGCCTTGGGTTTACCCGTATGATGAACCAAGGACTTTTTACCGACTGAGGAGTCGGGTGCCTAGGTGACTAGGTCTTCCTTTTCCCTTAGGCCGAGAGGCGATTGTTGAAGTCGGCCAAAGAGTTGTGCCTTGGTTTTACCTTGAGCAGGTACCAAGGGCTTGACCATAATGGTTGATGAGAGCAGACGGAATCAAACCATATGTTGTGCCTTGGGCTTACCTTTAAAAGAGCCAAGGGCTTTGTTCCGACTGAGGAGTCGTTGTGCCTTGGGTTTACCCGTATAAGGAACCAAGGACTTGACCATAATGGTTGATGAGAGCAGACGGAATCAAACCATATGTTGTGCCTTGGGCTTACCTTTAAGAAGAGCCAAGGGCTTTGTTTCGACTGAGGAGTCGTTGTGCCTTGGGCCTTCCCTGAGGCAGAACCAAGGTCTTTGTTCCGACTAAGGAGTCGTTGTGCCTTGGTCCTTTTCTGAGGCGGCACCAAGGTCTTTTTACCGACTGAATAGTCGTTGTGCCTTGGTCTTAGCTCTAAGAACCAAGGACTTGGTACCGACTGAGAAGTCGTTGTGCCTTGGGCTTACCCGTATGAGGAACCAAGGACTTAACCATAATGGTTGATGAGAGGAGACAGAATCAAACCATATGTTGTGTCTTGGGCTTACCTTTAAGAAGAGCCAAGGGCTTTGTTCCGACTGAGGAGTCGTTGTGCGTTGGGCTTACCCGTATGAGGAACCAAGGAATTGACCATAATGGTTGATGAGAGCAGACGGAATCAAACCATATGTTGTGCCTTGGGCTTACCTTTAAGAAGAGCCAAGGGCTTTGTTTCGACTGAGGAGTCGTTGTGCCTTGGGCCTTGGGCTTACCTTTAAGAAGAGCCAAGGGCTTTGTTTCGACTGAGGAGTCGTTGTGCCTTGGGCCTTCCCTGAGGCGGCACCAAGGTCTTTGTACCGACTGAGGAGTCGGGCTCCTAGGAGACTAGGTCTTCCATTTCCCTTAGGCCGAGAGGCGATTGTTGGAGTCTGCCGAAGGGTTGTGCCTTGGTTTTACCCTGAGCAGGTACCAAGGGCTTGACCATAATGATTGATGAGAGCAGACGAAATCAAACCATATGTTGTGCCTTGGGCTTACCTTTAAGAAGAGCCAAGGGTTTTGTTCCGACTGAGGAGTCGTTATGCTTTGGGCCTTTCCTGAGGCGGCACCAAGGTCTTTGTACCGACTGAGGAGTCGGGCGCCTAGGAGACTAGGTCTTCCATTTCCCTTAGGCCGAGAGGCGATTGTTGGAGTCGGCCGAAGGGTTGTGCCTTGGTTTTACCCTGAGCAGGTACCAAGGGCTTCGAGATCGATTTAGAATGGCGCTGTGCCTTGAGCTTATTCCTGATCAGGAGCCAAGGACTTTGAGATCGACTAGAATAGCGTCGTGCCTTGGGCATATTCCTGATCAGGAGCCAAGGACTTTGAGATCGATTAGAATAGCGTCGTGCCTTGGGCTTATTCCTGATCAAGAGCCATGGACTTTGAGATTGACTAGAATAGCGTCGTGCCTTGGGCTTATTCCTGATCAGGAGCCAAGGACTTTGAGATCGACTAGAATAGCGTCGTGCCTTGGGCTTATTCCTGATCAGGAGCCAAGGACTTTGAGATCGATTGGAATAGCGTCGTGCCTTAGGCTTATTCCTGATCAGGAGCCAAGGACTTTGAGATCGATTAGAATAACATCGTGCCTAGAACTCTCGAGAGTTGACTAGGTCTTAAGCATTTTATATGTATATGTATATATGTATATTTAGCTTTCATTGATTGTTTGAAATTTATACATAACAGAGTACAGCAGATTCACATTTGCAACTTCGGATGACGCCGAATTCGTACTTTTTGCTTAGATGCCTTTTGAGGACGACTTTTTGCTGGGGACTAGGTCACCGAGGCTGAGCTTCCTTGACTGTTTCTTTTCGCTTGTGAATATTCCTGTTTTGATGAAAGGGAGTTGTTGCCTTGTTAGCCTTCTTTGTTGGCAAACTAAGTTACGCCTTGAATCATGCGTTATCCCTTCTTTCGAGGGCGAAGTGTTTGGCTCCAGTCGTTACCGAACGGCCGACATATTTGCCATCTCATCAGCCAATGACCTTTTCGAACTTTGAATTTGTTGCTGAGGTCGTTGATGGTCGACAGTGAACATGAGGATTTTCAACAGATATTGCTTGTTCACTGTCAGTTGCTCTGTCTGGCTAGTATCCGTTGTTTGAGCTTTTCTTAGGATAGCGCTTAGCAGGAGGAGGCCTAGGCAACTTTTGTGATGGGGCTTCTTGTTGGTGAGGACCCCCGTCGTCGAAGCTTTGTTCCCTGGAATTTGATGGGATCATATTTTTCCTCTTGAGGATTCCAGGGACAAAGACGACCGGACCATCTCATAAATGGAGGAGCCTTCTTGTCGGGAGAATACAAGTCACATGCTTAGACCACCAGTTTTCACTTCGACTCTGGCGGTTCTGAGCATTTGTTGGGGCGACGGCTGTTAATCTTCTTGAGAAGACCAACCGGTGAGCCCTCGAGTTCTTCCCGCTTTCTCACGCTGGGTGAGAAAGGACTTCTTCTGTGAAGGCGGTGATGGTCCGGATGGGTCGCCACAGATTTGATGGCTGCTCCTGGGCCAGATGGACTAGCGTGGGGTCGAGCTTGTGCTATTCTGGATCTGATCATAACCCTTGGTGGAGGAAGGGCTTTTCTTATGATCCGACTCCAGGCTTCTGGGCTGTTCAGAAGATGGAGTTCGTATCTGTGGCGGCTGTGGGAAGCCTACGCTTCATGTTCAAGCCAGACGAGCACTTTAGTGCTGCATCTTCTTCAGGAGGGCTTTCGGGGTTCTACTTGGCAAATACTCCCCAGAAAGCTGTCGGAGCCCTGGAGGGCTATGCCTACTTCTAGCTCCTCATAGCCATAGGCTATTCCTCCTTAGCTTGAATGATGCGATTTCAGGCTTCATTTAGCTTGAGTGATGTGATTCTAGTAGTGTAAGAATAAACTGGATCAGGCCCCTGCTCAGAATTGGACATTTCTTCTCAGAGAAGAGAGGGCCCCACGGTGGGCGCCAAACTGTTGATGTGTATAATCACACAGCCAATAGTGGGGAGGTTGTTTGCCGAGGGAGGATTGTGAAGGATAAAAGGGGTCGACTCCCTCTCCGACTTTATGCCTAGCTCTGAGCGCACGGAGTGGACTGATAGCCTGCACACACAAGGAACGCCGGGGTACGGGGCGTGTTTCCCCCGTGGTACCTCCGACGGTCAAATTAGAGGATGAATTTGAGGAAGGTTTTAGGGAGAGTCCTTGGGCCATTGAGGTCCATGCAGGGTACATTCTCGCTTTAGAATTATTTAGAAACAACTTGAAGAAGAAGAGTGACTTCTAAGTTTTTCGAAGAACCTGCGTTTTCAAAAGTTGGTCCCCTATTTGGCTCAAATGCCTCCCTCTTTATAGGCTGTCGAGGATAGACACGTGGCTTCATCACGGGTTTGTGGACGACGGTGGGGGATGAGCTGGAGGCTGAGTCAGCAGTAGTTCCTTTACGTGTCGGCTGGCGACTGGAGGAGGTACTATTTTGAGATGATCTCGATAAGTCCCCCGAATTGATTTGATGGCGCATGGCTGAGAATATGGCGAGGTGCTGAGTCGCCTCTACCTTGACAGATGGCGGTTAGTGACTGGAGGGTGGGGTACTCGAGTATAGGAGGCACCTCGATAACGTCCTAGGTTTGACGGATAAGGATAAAGGGAAGATAGGCTGACCGATCTAGCCATTCATTGTTTTACAGATGGCAGCTGGCGACTAGAAGAGAGGTCGTCTGAGCTCAGTGGGTGTCTTGATTACGTCCCAGAAGTGACTTGGGAATAGAATGAGCCGTTATTGCATTTAAGACTTTGTTAGAGTTTGAGACTTTTGACGTGACCGATCAATACTGTGGTTGATCGACGTATATCTTGGAAATATCTTAGTTGGATGACTCGGATCTTTATCTTCCCCAGCAGGATTTGAATTGGAAGTCGGGTCATTCTCGTAACTTGTTGACTAGACAAGTGAGTCGTCAATTCAGTCAGATAGCTCGGTAGACAGCCGAGTCGTCCATTGGAGGAGTCGTCTCGATTGGGAGTTGGGTGGACTCCCGAGGAGTCGCCTTAGAGGCTAAAGGCCGACTACTCCCGTGCTTCGTGTCGGCTAAAGCATTTGGCTTTTGGCTAGGCTTTCCAGCTAAAGATCGGAGACTTTCGAAGAGCAACACGAATACCTAAAGATGATAAAAGGAGTAAACAAATACCCCTATTCATAATCTTTGAGGAAGCCACATCAGCTTTGAGAAATGCCACTCAAAACATTACGGGAACACCTTTTACACACTATTTTACAAGAAAATGTGTCAGTTAGAGGATGCATCGAAATGACAGTAGAAGTTGAACAAACAATGCGACAGCTGAAAATAACATACTGATGATAAAAGCTGGCGTGTGCAAGCGATGAAAAGGTTAAATTATCTCAGCACCCTCCAATTACTCCTTGAGGTTTGAGTCATACTCACTACCTAAAGATTCTCTTGCGCTTCAGAGGATGGAACCAGTGTGCATAGAAATAAACCTATCCCAAGAGGCCAATCAAGACATACTATGCACCTAGATCACCGATCAACACGGTGAATACGCTGTCAACGCTAATTTGCCACTCAATAATAGAAACATTGAATCAAAGGCCAACACAACAAAGGGATTGGTGAAGATAACCTTAGCATCACCAGTATAGGTCGATTCAAGTCCCCATCTTAGCCTTGACCTGGCATAACCTGCACTCAACAAGCTCGGCGTAAGCTCGGCCCCAAATAAAAGCTTAAAAACTCTTTTTTATCTTTCTACCTCTCATAGCGGGGTGTAGCACACATGATTGCCTACCCTTAGAGAGTGTGTGGAGGAGGCAGAACACTCTGGCCCCATGCTACCGGTTTTTTAGCCACCATGTTGCCTTACCTCTTGTACACGACCCTTCAAATGAGAGTAGCATTAGCCGCAAATAGGCTCTCTCCTCATATAAGAGGGCAACACACGCATCCGCCACAGCGGGATGAGATACATACACGTGCCTTTCCCTTCAACCCGAACATCCATTTGTTGATATAAAGAAAACCCTTGTTAAAGAAAAAATGGCGAGAACTTGATACGACACTGCATCATCCTTGCTCTCATCTATGCCAACATATTTGAATGAGATTCCAACTTGAGCGTAGTTTCTGTTCCCAAATCCTTCTAACAAAGGAACTGTTACCTTGCGCAAGAAGAGAGCTGTTTGTTCCCTTGATAGTTTCATAAAAGACCCCTATCTTCCTCCACATTGGCAGGTGATTCAACAAAGCTTATACCGTGCTTAAACGAATGGCTCATGACTATAGACACATGGTGAAGTCGAACATAATTGTGTATACCCAGTTTGAGCTAGTATGCTCGATAATTCAAGCATATACAGGAGACAAAAAAAGATAAGCCATTTAAATATTAAGTTATCAATGGATTGTTACCAAGCAGCTTGTCTCATCCATGATCTTAGGAAATTGACCTTCAATGCTGGCACAGGGCTTTCGTTATTGGTCCATTGGAAATGGCTTAGTTGCACTTAAGTACCCAATAATTTTCCCTATGTTTCACTTATATACCCTCACTTGTTTTTTACATCAATTATATACGTTAAAGTTTTTAAAACTCACGCTTATATATCCTATGTTGCACTTGTTTTTAGAAGCACTTGTATACCATAAAATTTTTGAAACTTGCATTTAAATACCTCAAGGTTCTTAAAACTTGCACTCAAGTACTCTCAGTTATGCAAACTAGAAGGTATTTAAGTACAAGTTATAGAAAATTTAGGATATTTAATTGCAAGTTTTAAAAACTTTTTGGGGTATATGAGTGCAGCCAAAACTGAGTGCAATTAAACTTTAGGGTATATAAGCGCTGGTAGAAATAAGTGAGGGCATACAAGTGCAATATATGGCAAACAAGGATACTTAAGTGCAATTAAGCCATTGGAGATATAAAGATAGATTTGGAGATGGATGCAAATTTTTGATGCAAATTTTTTTTCTACTCGAGCATGTAGCTAAGCGAATTTCAGCAGATTGGGTAAAATTACTATGATGTTTTCTAAATATTCATTAGTTTATTTGGATGCCATTAGATAGAAATAGTAAAGTCCGCACTTTTTGATGCGACTCTTAAAGGACACGTCTCCCCACTACTCATACTAGGTATTAGCCCATTTAGTGAATTGAGCATTATACGTCATACCCATTTTTTCTTCCTCACACAGGAACATATATGAGTTGCACAATTAAGATTTAAAATAGGATGTAACTTTAGAAATATTCTATGCCAGGTTATGCAAGCTGAATGTGAAAAGCAGGCCTGAAATGGGTTCAGATCGTTTAGTAATTTAACAAACAACAAATGAACGCTGCACCTACACTTACAACTTCCAGGGAGGCCTTCCACAGGCCTGGCTTGCTGCAAGCAGCTTGACATTGAGCAACAGCTTTACAAACGCACTGCATATCATCATGGCGATCAATGCTCGTCTCGCTGGGTGTATTTGTTCTCTACTTCTACCCAAACCCTATCGACATCAAGGCTAATGCCGCGATTTGATCATCTGCCTCTATGTTCATCTGTTCTTTCATCGTGCTTCATTTGTATCGGGTGTAAGCACCCATCATTTAAAAAACTAAGTTTACTTTATAAGCTGATCATGTTACAGAAGCAAGATCAATGTCAAGCACAGGTTTACGATACATAATAAGTAACAGATTATACATAGTATATACAAGCATGTACTCCTAAAGATGATCACATGCAGAAAAAGTACAGCTTACATGTACTTAACATATAGTTGTCCTAGTATCCTATTAATGAAAGACATTCGAACTGGATGCAAAGAACAAAAGCAAAATGAAGAAAGACACATGATTTCTTTGAAACATACATGTGAATCAAGGAGGGGTGATGGATGCAATTACACTGCTGGAATGATCGGTCATAGAGGCACCCATCAAAGATGACGATGAAGATTGTCTCTCCATCGTAGAAGGTTCCGTCTCCATGGACACTATAGACATGCTATCAATTTCAAGCATCAAACTCCATATGCTCTCCAGCTCCCTCACTACCTCTGGCATTGATGGCCTCTCATCTGTTTGGTCCTGGCAACATCTAAGTGCCAATAAAACAAATTTCTGAGTGCATTCAGATGGATATGCTCCCATGCGGCTATCAATACATAACAACGGGCAGCAAGAAAGCTATGGCTTATAATATCATGGTTAAGCAGGTCAACAAGAACGAGCAAGCGTAGAGATGCATAAAACCATCTATCATTCAGTAACATCTCGTTGTATCTATCCTTGCCTCAAATGTGGGAAAATATTGTTATTGTTGGCACATGTGGGGGACCCCTATTGAGATAAAATATGTGTGCATATATTCAGGGGGAGATTTTAAGATTCTAACTCTCTAACTTGATTTATACTATTTGTCATCATAAAAAATGGGGAGAATGTTGATCAGGTATGTTTTGATGATACAAATATACTGTGTTTGGCTAACTTGGTTATTGCAGTGTCAAAAGATATATCCTGCTACATCATTCAAGTTGATCAAGCAAGGCTGAAGAGAAATCAAGATAAAGTTGGACTTCATGTTGTAACTTTTACTTTATCTTAGATTGTTAAAAGCCTTGATGCGCGCACACACACAAACCATGACTTAGTTTATAAGTTCTAAATCCCCCATTTGACTAATGATATACCCCTAGTCGACTTATAAAAGAACTAATGAAACTTAGATTTTTCAGTGATACATCAACTTTGAAATTCTCTATAAAATCGTACGAGCATTGGATTGGGATAATTTTGGATTCATCACATAGATATTTAAAATATGCATCCAACGCATCCAAAATCACTCAATTCGGATGTCGTAGTAAGAAGTTATGTCCATTTTAGTGTATGTTGCTGATTTTGTTTTTCTGGTCAGTCGACTGGAATCACTGTAGCAATCAACCGATTAACATATTTGTCCATTTTAGTGTATGTTGCTGATTTTTCTTTTCTTGTCAGTCGACTGGTCACTGTAGCAGTCGACCAACTAGTATGTTTGCTCAAAATTAAAATCTCTCTGGCCAGTCGACTTATTCACACTTTAATCGACTTGTAATGGCAGTTTTTGACTTTTAAGTGTTTGAATTTAGGTCAGTTTTTGACTGTTATATTTTAGTTTTCAAATTTATTTTCAAACTCTTTAGGCCAACCTAAGATTTCTATAAATGGGCATGGGTTTCTCATTTGAAAAGATGATGAACAAGATTCATTATGCTTTGACTTTTGAAAATCTTTGAAATTCTAAAAAACTCTCTTTATAGCCTTCTTGTCCAAAATTCTCAGATTTAGTGAGGCAAAATATTGAGAATTCCTATTAGCCACAAATTAATTAAGATCACTACACATCAAGACTAATAGGATTGTTGTAATCTTCATCAGAAAAGCTCTTTGGTTTGAGGGAAGAGGAAAGGTTCTCTCTGGTTTGAGGGAAGGAAAGTCTTTCTCCGGTTTGAGAAATGGTATGCAAATTGACAAGGGGATTGTCAAGTTTGTGCAAGGATTATTCTTGTAAGGAAATTCAAGAATAGTGGAAAACCTTAAGCGGGTTGCTTGGGGACTGGTTGTAGGTCTGGAGGACCGAACCAGGATAAAATCCTTGTGTTTGTGATTGTGTTCTTCCCTGTGTTTTAGCATTGCATACAGGATCCAACAACCCCATTTGGATTAGGGTTTAAGAGTCCCTCTTTCCTATAAATACATATGCAAAGATGCATAAAAATTATCAGATAGAAAATACAACCATCATCTTCCTCCTCTCTCAATTCTGTGATTTACATGGTAGTCGGCGGGAGATATGCAGGGGCTTCTCGCCATATCAAATCGACCAGCAACTGTTGTTCGAAGATGAAGATCATATGCGTGCAATCCTTTGTAGATTCAAGACAAGTAATCTCTAAACAAAGAGATTTACATATTCATAGTTGATCATGAATAGTTAACATTAGTAATAAAGCCAATTTAGGGTTGCTCGCACCTTTTCTCTTTTTCATGGTTAGATCTAATTATTATTGCATCTTGTGTTAGTTTATATTAGATCTGTAGTTTCTTGATGTGATTTAGTCCCTGCAATAGAAAAGTTAGGATTTTCAATAATAAAAATTTATTTTTATTAGAAAGTATAAATTTTTGGTGTAAAAATCTAATTTTTGACATCTGGGATGTCATATCTACAATAAAAATTAATTTTTTATTAACTAGTGGGCAATTTTTAATAAATTAGAGATTTATTATATTTTTAAATTAGAAATTATTTTTAGAAATTAAAATCATTTTTTGAATTTTTGAAAATTAAGAAATTTTTTTTGAAACCCCAAGTCAGATCCACTACCGACTGGGGCGCTAATCGACGGCATGAGCTGACCCAAGAGGATTTGGAGCTGGGGGCTAAAGGAGATCCTCTGATAATCGCATGCGCGTCTTCTTTTTTTTTTTTGAAAATAAAAGCCTAGCTATCATAGTTGGCGTCAGGGTTGCCAA